ATATATATATAGGACTAAAATGTAACACATTAATTAAGTAAGAAAAGAAAAGATGGAAGTAGTATTTCATTTAGGTGCAAGAGAATGGAGTACTGTTACTCAAAATCAAAATGTAAAGAGGTTGTTGCGGATGATATGACAAGGAATAGAAAGCCTAAGATAAGAAAGGAAAAGAAGAGCCCAATATTGGGTTTTGTTATCTGAGTGTTGGATCGACCTATGCATGTGCTACGTACAAAACTTCATTGATCCCATGGCATATTGAGTGACGTACCACAATTTAAAGTTCGTCGTGGTAAAGATCTTCATTCCTACCATTGTCATAGATGGTACTGTAGAAAATACTTTCATGATTGAGTATTTCATCCAATGATAATTTACCATCTTGGTTATCATCAGCCTATAGAGCAAAAGAAATTGTGTTAAATTATTGAATCAAATATAATGCATAATATATATATATATATATATATATATATATATATATATATACTAAGCATTTAATCTGGATAGCTTTAAAAAAAAAAATTATACTAGAAAATAATTTGAATTTGGATGATAACTTTTGGAAATAGTTTTTGAGGAACAGTTGTTTCTGGATGTAATGTTTTAAGATTTTTTTTAAAAAAAATTGCAACTCTTTACATATATTGCAACTCCCTTTTTAAAAGACAAAAGGAATCATAGAGAAAAATTTTAACATAATAATAGGAAGAAGAAGAGGTGAAATTTTTAAAAAAATAAATAAAAAGATACTTAATATTAGAACAATTGTAGACTTGCCTCTCGAATCAAATATGTGGTGTAGACTTTAGCGTAGGAGAGTTCTCCAGGGCACAAGTAGTGCAGAATTGGTTTCAATTCCTCCTCTCTCAGGAATCTAGCAAAATCAGTGTTAAAAGATTAATTAATATTTGCTCAACACATATCAAATTGAAACAGGTGAGACGAAGTAAGAATAATTAAGTACTTGTCACTATCGACGTCAAGCTTGGCGAATGCTTCAAGTGGTGTTGGAATATTGGTTCCCCGAGATTCATATTCCAGGTAAGTCTTATAGATGTTGTAAGCACCGTTACTAAATTCCAACCGATTTAGCTTATGATCCCTGTTTACGTCCATCTGCCTGTTAACATAAAGTAATTAAACCACTATTATATTATATTGTTAAGTGTAAAGAAAAATATAAAATTAATTAAGTGTTATGCATTAACAATATAATGAAGCATTTTAAGCACGGCCTAAAATATATTTAATGATGATTGCGGGGTTCTAACCTGATTTTTTCTCGCAACAGCCACCTTTGTATATTTTCGTTCCTGCTATCTTCAGGGTGCAAAAAACTGCACAGGATTCCATTATGATACAACAAAGGTTAAAAGTATGTGATTTGCACAAACACAAGAAGAAGAAAAAGAAAAAAAGGGTTAATGGTATTACTCTCTAAATTCATATAAGTTTAGAGTCCCGTTTCGATCAGCATCAGCATTTCTGAATTGTTCCATCCACCATCCTGCTTCTCCATGGCTGGTTTCATTTCTCTCTGTAAATTAAATTAAAGATGACCAAATGCAATTATATACACATGCAATTCATGATCTTTATTTAAGGATCACCTATGTCTTCATTGGTAAAGTGAGGCAAATATTCAGAGAAAGAAATAGCTCCATCTCCATTATTGTCTCGAAAGTACTCCAATTCTCTCCGAGTTCTATAATGCAGACGATCAATGGCTTGTTGCGTATTCCAAGCTTCCAACTCCTTATACTCAATGAAACCATCTTTTGGTGCAACATCCAAAATAGGGAACAAAACCATTAATCTTAAGCTAGTTTTTAACCTCCCATCATAGTCAAAATATTGATCGTCCTCCTCCTTATAATTATTATGCGATCTACGACTAGACTGGTCTTCTTTATTTCCTTTGGGCTGACGTTGCTCCAATTCGGCAACAAGGGGATCAAATATTGGGTCACGAGTCTTGAGGCCTAATCGTCTGCTTAACCCACGAGGGGTGTAATATGCATTCTCATTTAATTTTAATTGGACGATTAATGGTATTACGAGAAAGACGAAGGCGGTGATTATGGTGGAAATAACCACCACCTTCGACATGTTTTCCTATGTCTCTGCCAACAACTTTTTCTTCCTTTAATCTTAAAACTGTTGTGGCAGTTAGAAGATAAGGGCCAACATGTAAACATCTTTCATTTGTGGTTACTACTCTTTACCGGTTACAATAGTATTTTTCCAAATTAAGGATCACATACATTTACAATAGTTTTTCAAGATTATTTCCAAAATTAATTCCTATACAACTAAATTTAATAGCTACAGGAATTATTTTTTATCCTCTTTTATTTCAACAATTGTCAAAGTTGACAATTTTCTACCTTGATTATCAGATGATCCATTCTACCAAGAAAGTAATGTAGGCATATAAATTTAATTTAAATTAAATTCATAAAATAATTTGGACTATATTTTACATTCAATATATATTGGTCCAAATAAATATTACGGGCTAACATAATTGAATCAATTATATAAGTCTAATACATGGATTAAATAAATAAGTCGTAATCCATTGGGTTAGCCCAATTAATTGGGCTAAAGTGATAAGCCCACTTCATTAAGCCCAAGATATCATCTTCCTAGAGGCCCAGTTTGGTGCCACATGTCAAATGACGTGGCACGCCAAGTCAAACGAAAGAGCCAATAGGATCGTGCCACGTGTCAAAATGACAAGGCATGCCAAGTCAAATTAAAAGGCCAATGAAACCGCGCCACGTGTGCAAGTGATATGTTCTGGCCAATCAAATACTGCCTTGTCACACTTTAATTTAATTGGTCGGAAAGAGTTTGTTCTTATCATAACTCTTCCCTTCCACAACTATAAATAAGGGTCTTCATAACCCAGAAAAGACACCAGAAGTTATAACAAGAAGCAAGAAAGAGCTCGTGGATCAAACGCTGCAATTTTCTCCATAAGTTTCAAGCTTCAAGCAATCAAGTTCAAGTTCAACAATCAAGTTCAAGCTCAAGAACAAAGAACAAACCAAGTTCAAGCTTAAGAACGAAGTACAAATCAAGTTCAAGCTCAAGAACGAAGTAAAATCAAGTTCAAGCTCAAGAACGAAGAACAAATCAAGATTCAAGGAGTACAAGTTCAAATCAAAGATCGTGCTAGTTGAATTCAAGATCATCGTCCGTGGCAACAAATATAGATTCAAGATCAAGCTTGAAGGCCCTTGAATTTATATTGGAAAAGTAGAATCAGAGGAACCATAGAAATTGTAACACTCAAATATTTGAAATAAAATACCACGATTGTTGTAATATTTTTCGGTCTTGATTTTATTTTCTCGACGAAAATTTATTGTCTACAAATTCTGGCACGCCCAGTGGGACAATCTCTACCTCTCATATCTACTTTCCGATCAGCAAAATTCAAGAACATCAAAATATCTTCAAAGAAAATCAACCCCAGATCAACTTCCATCAAGGCTGCTAATTCCAGGTTTATGCTGATGTGAAAAGCATCCTCGATGTTACCTTTGGAAGCTTTGGACCAGTTACGAGGAGCAAAGCAAGCTCTTTGGGACAAAAAGCACTCCAAGTGTCGTCCGCATCAACCCCTGTTTTTGAATCTTCATCCTCAAAAGGAGCAAGATCTTCTACGAACGTATCCGAAGGAGGAAGCGATATTGCTGCAAAGATCAAGAAAACTCTAGCTCTGCTTGACCTCTCCGGATCCAAGAACTCTATTGTGAAGGAAGATGGTGATATTTCAAGTGATGGATCTTCCCCACTCACACCGCATATCGTGAGCCATTCTGTGTGACAATCCGTGCTACTCCCCATCATCCACAACACTCATGCAAGCCATGGTGACAAACACTTCATCTGTGGAAGAGCAGTTGACAAACTTGACGGAAGTAATCGCTGGCTTGACCAAGTGCATGCAAAATCAAGATGTTATAATTGACAAGCTAACAGACATGGTAGGAATCTTGATGGAAGAAGAATCCACCCATGCACCTGGCAAACTCCCAGAAGTTCAAGAGATTGATCCTCCCCCACGACAAGTTACATCCACTAAGAAAATTCCAGTCTCTTCGGAAGGGATGATTCCAATCAATCAACTAAAGGAGTTCATTGAAGGGACTCTAAAAACAAATATGAAGTTGCTTCCAAGTCCTCCTTTACCTACGCAAAGCCGTACACTTCAAGGATCGATATGTTAAAGATGTCTGCTGGCTATCAACCTCCAAAATTTTAACAATCTGATGGCAAAGGCAATCCAAAGCAACATGTGGCGCACTTCGTTGAGACATGCAACAATGCTAGGACTTATGGAGATTACCTCATCAAACAGTTTGTCCGCTCATTAAAAGAAAATGCTTTTGATGGGTACACAGACCTCGAGGCTGGATCTGTTGATAGCTGGAATAAACTAGAGCAAGAATTCCTCAATCGATTTTATAGCACGAGACGTACTGTGAGTATGATAGAACTTATAAATACTCGTCAACGAAAGGGTGAACCAGTTATCGACTTTATCAATTGTTGGAGGAATGCAAGCCTCAGCTGTAAAGACAGGCTTAGTGAAGCTTCGGGCATAGAGATGTGCATCCAAGGCATGCATTGGGGACTTCGCTACATCTTGCAAGGTATCAAGCCTATCACAATTGAAGAACTTACGACTCGTGCCTATGACATGGAGTTAAGCATGGCCTTCGCTAGAAACAAAAGGCTGCTTATCTATGAGCCTCGCAAAGGGAACGACAAGCAAGAAGACAGGAAACGGAGAAAGTTTGCACACAAGTCTGAAAATAAAGAAGCTATGAATGTCAACACATCACCTGTGAAGTTCACAATAAAGGTGAGCAAGAAGCAGAGTACGAAATCCACTTCTTTTCAAGATAAACCAAGTGGAAAGTTGACTCTAAAAGAAATGCAAGTGAAAGAGTACCCATTTCTGGATTCTGATGTGCCCGCAATTTTTGAAGAACTCCTCGAGTTAAATCTCATTGAGCTTCCGGAGATGAAACGGCCAGATGAAGCTGGTGAAATAAATGACCCAAATTACTGCAAATACCATCGACTCGTGATCCACCCTCTCGATAAGTGCTTTATCTTCAAGGACAAAGTTATGGACTTGGCCCGTGAAAAAAAGATCGTGCTTGAAGATGAGAAGGCAAGTGCGAACCAAGTCTCTATCACCTTTGGCTCATTCAGTCTAGATGAGCTATGCAGTTTAAAAGAAATCAAAGATGAAGAATTACTGGAGAATAACGAAGTCGAAGTAGACGACCATGATGATGATAAAGTTTGGACGTTGGTGACTCGCCATAGGCGCCACAAAAGGATCCCACGAAATGAATCAATAAAACAACCAACAAGGAAAATGATGGCGAAAAGACCAAAGAGACAGAATCCAGTTAAGAATTTGAATAAAGCAAAAGTGAAGGTGCACCATCCTCAAAAGCCACGACATCCAGTGACCTTGGAGGAGTTCTTACCAAGTTGGTTCCGCACGAAGATTTCCCATGAAGGTATTGGTGCCTCTTGTTGCCATACTGACAAAGGGGAAGAAAAGTGTGATGACCTACCATCGACACCATCTTCGGAAAAGCTCATCGAGTCCATTCCTCAAGAAGTTAATGCTTGTGAGAAAAAAATTATATTCACAAATGACGATCTTCTACTAGGTGACACTTCTCATAACCACCCGTTGTACCTGGTTAGCTATATGTGTGATGAAAGGGTAAATCGAATTTTGGTTGATGGAGGATCCTAAGTGAACATCTTTCCAATTCGTACTGTGAAAGAACTTGGTATTCCCATGAACGAACTCTCGGAAAGTCATGTGATGATTCAAGGATTCAACCAAGGGGACAAAGAGCCATAGGTGCTATCAGGTTGGGAATCACCATTGAAGATGTGCAATCAAGTGCATGGATGCATGTGATCGATGTAAAGACTTCATACAACGTCTTGCTTGGAAGGCCTTGGATACATTAGAATAAAGTAGTTCCATCTACCTACCTTCAATGTTTAAAATACTACGAGGGTGAAGTAGAGAAGAAGAAGATAGTTGCTGATGATGAGCCATTCACCGAGGCTGAGTCACACTACGCCGATGCAAAGTTCTACTTGAAGAACCACATTGTGAAGGAGCTAAAAGCTTATGATGTCATGAAAAGCACGAATGATGAGCCCACAACTAAAAGAGCTGAAGTGACTGCTGGTAGAGCCAAAGCTATTACTGAAGAGGTAAAACCTAACTTGAATAAATCTTATAGAGGGGATATTGCGTCTTATGGCAAGAAAGTAACTCCTGTGCTCCAATATGTCCCTAAAAGGAAGAAAGATGAAGGTGAATCATCTAATCTCCAAACTAACATGCTAAATGAGTTAACTCTTCCGATAAAACAAATTAAGGCAGTAAATTTATCCTCAAATCCACTTGCAGGGTTTGTGGCCCAAAATTATTTGCAGAATGTGGCACTCCCTACAAAGCAAACAGATAAAGGTTTTGATCCTAACGCTTACAGGCTATTTGCAAAAGCTGGATACAATCCCAATGAGCCGTCAAAGTTAGGGAATCTCCCATCAGAAACTGCGACGAGGTAACCATGTGAAGGTTTGGGATTAGGGGTGTACATGGACCGGGTTGGTTCGATTTTTATAAAAACTAAACCAAACCAACTGTATCAATTTGGATTGGTTCGGTTTTGTCGGGTTTTTCGGGTTTTTCGGGTTTTTTGTTACTTAAATATTATTTCAATCTTGTTTTGATAAATATTTGATAAGTAAATATATATTTAGTAAAAATATAAAATATTGACAAACATATTATCGATTAAAATATTCTTATGAGAGAATTCTATTAGTAACACATAATAGTTATTTTTTTAGTCGTCTGACAATAATTTTTCGTTGATGTACACTTCTAGGTTAACCGAATTTAGTAATTAAATATAAAAATCTATATGATACCTAAATATTAATAATCACTTCACATTCGAAAAATATATAAGAATTTAATAGATCTTAACATATGATATGAATATTGAAGAACAAAGAGATAGACACATTTAAGTAACACTTGATAAGAAAGTGATCATACAACCCATTATTTAAGGTCAA